CCATTCTTGCAGTTGCCACAGTGTACTACTGGCTCCCCAAGGGCCAAGGTGAGATAGTGACAGCAGGGTGGTCACCATTACATAGGGTGGTGGTTCCTTCACCTCTCTTTGAAGCCTGTGTATGTATATGGGTTCCATATTTCAGAGCCTAATAGGAGATCTGGCATCTGCAGGAAAGCAAGTTATCGGGAGCAGGTAGTTCCATTATCAACTGTTCTGTAGGTTTGCAGAATGTTTGTGAGTGAACCACATCTCTGTATACTCCTGCAGATTTCCATCTGTGAAAGAGTGATAATGTAGGAAGCTGTATTGATTGAGCATTCATACGTATAAAATATTGAGATTCTTGTCCAAAGTTCTGGAACTGGGAAATATGTTGCTTCCTGCAAAATACCTGTAATTTCATTTATACAGTGTATCTGTGCAAACAGAGTAGTCTTTGTGTTCATCTTCAACAGTTGCTTCCTGTCACTGCTGACTTTGTGACAACTTTCTTGCTTTTTTTTCAATCTCAACCAGGTACTACTCTTCGGAAGATGGTACGAGATGCTACCACTGAAGTAGTGGAAGGAATGATCCAACTCACAGAAACAATTCTCAATGCTCCGTTGGAGAGGTAGTAATTTTCCAGGGGGAAAAAAAAAGGGAGGGGAAAAAAAGTTAAAATTATACTTGTTAGGAAGCAGCAAGTGCAGACTGCTTCCTAAGGGAATGGAGGAGGCAGAAACAGAGCATTGTTACGAGGCAGGAAGAGGCAAAGGCCCTGTCCCCCAGTGGGTGAGTGAGCAGAGCAGTGCTGGTGAGGGCAGAGAGGCTCAGTTGAGAGTCCAGTTGATCAGACAAGCCCGTAGCAGTGAGGTCAAGCTGGAAAGTCAGGCCAGCAAGTCAGGGTCAGGTCCAGAGAGAGTAACCAGCATCAGGCACCATCCAGTGATTGCCCAGCACGTCGTTGTGATGAGTCGGGTCTGAGATCAAGGCAGGAAGGTCAAGTCAGTGGGTGAGGATCCAGGTCAGAGTCAAGGGGGTATGAGACTGGGTGTAGACATAACTGCCACACAGCTGTGTGTAGCACAAACAGGGCCCTCAGGGCCCTGTGAAACAGCCTCAGGGTAAAAGCACTGTCTAGGGTAAGAAGGTACTTCCCGTCAGCAGAGGAGCCGACCTTGTGTTTAAGCCAACTAAACTCTTCACCTGAGCAAACTTAACTCCTAGGAGGATGAAATACACTCAAGACCCTGACAGTACCCTCTCGTCCCAGTGACTGAGGCAGGTACACTTGCCTACATGGAGAATAGATTTTCATCCTGTCTGTGGCAAGGAAAGATGCTGGGAGCAGGATTCCCATGAAGGTGCTGGGTAGCATTTGGACCATTGGGCAGTTTTTGCCCTTGGAGGGAACTGTTACACGCAATGGTTGCACAACTTTATAAAGGTAATTACCGGACTGCTATGGGCTGCTTCCTCTCGTTACGGATTGCACACCCTTAGGGTGCCCTTAGGCAGAGGTCAGCAATCTCTAATGCAGACTTCTGATGGGCATGGATTCTGAAAGATAAATAATATGCTTAAGCACCTTGAGAGGCTTTTGTAAGAGGCTCCCACTTCTTATTCCAAGAGCTAATTAAACTCCATAGCACTTTTTGCTTTATACAGACATGAGATACTAGTGACAGGTTGGTTGGTGACATCTTTCCGGCAGAGCTTCTACTGGAGTGGGTCATCTTTGGTGTGGTAAATAAAAACCCTCTAGCAGAGAGCTGTTATTGAGTATAACTTTGGGCAGCTTTGTTTTGTTTCAGCTTGTCTCAGGAACAGCTTATATCAACTGGGGGTGTGTGGGAAGCCTGTGAGCAAGTGTCCAGCCTGCCACGAGGTGAGTATTCTATTGCAGAACAACAAAACTAGGACATGTCTTGGAATGTCAGTAGCCCTTGCAAAGAGGCATTCTGGCTAGTACAATGAAGGCTTGCTCATTCTGCAAAACCCAGCTGTTCCTGAAGTGTATAAGCTTGGAAGCCAGGCTGGCCTCTTTGCATGGCAAGAGTGCAGCTCTGAGCTCTGCAAAAAGTTTGATCCTATAGTCTCAAGATCTAATCATCTCAGACCTAGATGAACGTTGTCGCAAGCTGATTTGAATTAGTGCAGTGCCACAGTATTCGTCCTTTTGCTTTTGCAGATAACCAGGCAGCAGTTGCATCAGCTCTGGCAGCATGTCTAGGTGTGGTCAAGGATGCTGTGGAGGAAATGGAAAATGTAAGGAAGCCCCTAAGCCTTTGATGGATTATGGTGATGGAACATGGGAATTGTTCTATATACAGGCTTTGATTTTAAATTTAGGTTGATACGAGCTATTGTGCTATGCCTGAAGTTTTTAAACTCAAGCCTAGTTTACTTTTATATGAGGTTTCTCTAAAGCCATGTCCTGAATTGGGGTGGGGGGGGCAGTGGCATGGTTTAGGTTGTCAGAATGGCAGTATTTCCCAGGTTCTTGCTGTTTGCTCTGTTGAATTGGAGTGAGGGATTAATTTTTCTTAATCTAGTCCTGGTTGGGTTAACAGAAGCTGGCAACAGAGATGCTGGTTGGAGAGAGATTCCTCCATAAATTATTTGCATGATTTCTAGAATAGGTTTTCCCTTTTCTTCTGGGTGTTGCTGGATTTGATGTTAGGCTCTGAGCTTTCATGCATCTGTGTTCACAGGCCCTGGCGGAAGGGCAAGACCCCTACAGTGACATCATGGAAGATGAAGAGCTGGGCTTTCGGGGCAACAGAGATACATATTGGTCAGAAGCTGACCGGAAGCTGCTTAGCTCCTGCATGGGATTGATGAAGGCTTCTAAAGCTTGCCTGAAGAAGGTCTTGGGTGTAGTAAAGGCATATGGCAAAGCTGATTCTCCGGAGCAGATCGCTCAACTGGATGATCTTGCAGACATTGCTAATGAGATCAGTCCAAGGTAAGCAGGTCACTCCCTGTGCCACTTTTTGCTCCAGAGCAGCTCCTGTATTTCTTGAGTTCTAGAGAATGGATTCAGAAAACCTTTGTGATATTGAAGGTGTGAGTAGGTGGTGGAAGCTGGTGTGGTGGGCAGAAAACCTTTGTGATATTGAAGGTGTGAGCAGGTGGTGGAAAAACTATTATGGCATAGGCTGTTGAGAGTTGTGTAAGTTAGGAGAGGAACATGTGTTGCAGCTTGTGGTGGAGCTGAGGCCGTGTCTCACTCTGAGGTGAGAGTGGAATGTGGATGTCTGAGAAGGCGGTGAGAAGCATCCCATGGGTATGACTGATGTTGTCTGCTTGTCACACGCTGTGGGACTTAAATTCAGGGTGGGGGTAGGCTTTGACCAGGATCCATGAATTGTGCTGTCGTGGCCTTCCTTCCATTGCTCCCCTCTTCTCTTCTAGTGTCGACGAGCTGGCACTGAGCATGTATCCACCTGTCAATGAGCTGGCCGTGCGACTCAACGTAAGTATCTGCAGCCTGCACGTGGGTCTGCTCACTTGGCTATAGAGAAGGGGAAGAAATCAAATTGGAGTGGTTATGTGACTTTGGCTCACTTTATTTCCCTTTTGTTTCTTTCTAGGCTGCTAAGTTGGCCTCGGTATTGAAGAAGGTCTTGGAGATTACAAAGTGAGTATGAGTTACGGTTTTACGAGTGTGTGTTCCCTGCCATGAAGGTTGATATCTTTCTGCCTCCTGTCAAAGATGACTCATTTCTAGACAGTAAACGCTGGCATTTTGGTAAAATTGTGATGTTATTCAGTCACAAAGGGATGGGAGTAAGAAAAGGATGGTAGGGATGAAAGTGGTTCTCACTGAAGACATACACAAATGCATTAAGGTTTGGGACAAGAGACGTGGATGTGAGTTCTTCCTTGCTCAAAGCACTCTGGGGCTATAGCAGTCCTGTCTTAATGATGCATTAAGGTTTGGGACAAGAGACGTGGATGTGAGTTCTTCCTTGCTCAAAGCACTCTGGGGCTATAGCAGTCCTAACACTGTGGTGATTCAGCACTTCCCAATACCCATGTGCTGTCTGGATGCATAGCTATAAGGCACCCAGGAGGCTTTCCTAATGAATTTCCTCCACTTTTGCAGGACAAGCCATGTATGTCCACCATCAGAGGAAGGCTGGGTGCAGTTTCTAACTGATGCAGTAGATCACAACATGAACAAAATCAAGAACTTCACACAGGGTCAACTTTAGTTCTTCCATGCCTACACGTGTTGCTGTCACTGGCTCTGGCATATGCTTTTCCAGTGAATCTTGCTGCTCTCCAGCTACTGAGATAATGATGAGAACGATGTTTTTTAGGAGAGAACTTTACTGCCACTTGGTAAAACTTTGCCAGGAAGTTGCTCTTTGCTATTGCAGAAGGTGTTGTTTTGCTTGGATTCCTGGAATGGTGCAGTGCTGCATATTAATGCTGTGAACATGCCCCGTTCTTCAGACATTACACCTGCTACGGGGTTCAGAGAACAATAAAATATTACTAGATTTGCATGAGTGGCTTTATCTGTTTTCAGGTGGCAGAGGATATATACTGAAGGAAAGGGTCTTGCTTCTTTTGCAAGCAGCCTGATGAACCATTAAAAAATATGCAGCACTGCTGCTATTTCCCATCTAACCTCGGAGAAGGGTGAACTAACTTTTCCTCAGAAAGTTAATCTAACCTCGGAGAAGGGTGAACTAACTTTCTCTTTTCTATTTCCTCAGAAAGTAGTAGAAAATATTATTTACTACTATACCAACATCAAGGATCTGTCTAAGAGTTTATCTCTAGAGAAATGCTACCTCTATGATCACTTCAAAGTTCTAGGATGGCCTTATTTTTCCCTACCCGTGCAAAAAAAAGATTAAGCAATGGGTTCAGCACATTTGTGTGGTGAGAAATGCAGGATCTGCTTGAGAATTTAACCCATCTTTGTCACAGTAAGGATCAACTTATAAAGCTGGAGAGTGGGGGAGAAAGTTGAGTTTGTGCAAATAATCAGTCAGACATGGTTTTAAATATAACTTTAATTAAACTGTTAACATCTATGCTTGCCTAAGATCAGAGCACAGATCACGACCACTCTTTTGTAAACAGGATGGCAGGACCTGTTCTAAGTCGGGCATCAGGCAGCAGCGACGTCTATAGTTTTGTAGCTCTTCAGGTTGTGGAGCTGTAGGCAGGTGAGACGCGCAGTGAGTCTTCGGGGCCCTGCTCGGATGGGGGTGAATGGGATTTGCAGCTCCTGAGTGCTGTCAGGTTGCACGGAGCCCAGCCTGAAATGCAAGAAGGGGTTATAAAAGAAGCGCATCTCTTTGTATTTCTAGTTCCCAGGGACCAGGAGATGCATTTGCTTTACAGGAGTATGGTGCCAAAAGAAAATGGAAGGGGGGAAAAAAAAATTAGGTTAGTGGTTATCTAAACTACCACAGCAGAACTGTGATCTGACAGTAGTAGGGAGGGAGATATGACTCAAGGGTCAAACTCCCTCTGGAGGCATCTAAGGTTACTTTGTCCTAATGCAGCTTCTTGAGAGAACTGTATTGTTTTGGGTTTGTTTTTTTTGTTTTTCATGTGAAGAAGAGCATGCCTTTTTGGGTGATTCTTGGCTAATTCAGGTTTGCCTGCTTCTTCAATACTTAAAATTGTACCCCGGGACTGTCTTTAGTGCTGACAGTTGGGAATGGGTGGAAAGATGTGTCACAAAAGTGGAGTTTTACTCCACTTACAGATGTTCAAGTGGATAGCTAAAAAGCAATTGATTGCTCAACAGCAAATAATTTCTAAATTTCATAGCTCATTTCAGTGACCTATAACTTGTCTTAGTTAATGTGTATTTCTGCCGAAGTCTTGTGGTTCTTTGCTTGTTATCCTGTTTGTTGGCAGGGGGCTTTCCTACTGCTGTCTAGGCCTTTGGGGTTGAAGCTTTCACAAATGTCATACTGGCTTCAACTTATGTATTACATACACATCTGTTCAAAGTTCTGTTATCTGGCATTTCTCATTTTTGATGTGAAAATCTTCTGTGTTATCTGTAAATAAAGGATGGGATGCCTGGGGTTTTCACGTTGTAGCAGTTTCTTCCTGCCACGTTTTGCCTGCTTATTTCTGGGGAGACCCTTCCCCGTGCCAAGGTTTCTCTAGCTTGTTTTTTGTCTCTTTTTCCATTCACCGTTCTTAGATCAATCAGTTGGCACTCACCTGTACTTCCTTTGTCTGTAAATGAGCCCTCGTCCTGCAACCACTATCACACACTTCTCCAGGGGTTCGGTGAGAGGGTTCAGGAGGCTGATCTTTGCTGTGCTTGGCTGATACTGTACCATGTTTTCTGGAAACTGTTGAAAGAAGGAAATGAGCTGAAACTGAGAGAAGGAAAAGGATTCTTCTGTCACTAAAGGGAGATAAATGATTTCTTGGTGCCAGACCTCTCAGCCTGAGCTGCCAGAAGAGGCAAAGTCCAGCTTACTTTCTTCTCAACTACAGTGTGCTACTGCAGTTTCCTTCTGCAGCCTCTGATTTCCAGACTGGTGAGTGAGTTAGGAGTCATCAGGGTTTCCTTATGCTCACACATAGACAAGGTAGAAGTGGGAGTACTGTATACAACAGTGTGGCACAACTTGCCTTTCCCAAACTGATGTCTCAAGTGCTTTGAAAGCAGACAGCATGAGGAGACACACTCAACCCAGCAGAATTATTTTGCTGCTTATGGCCACAAGCTCTTTTCTCACTGCTGTAGTAACAGAATGATAGATTGATCTAACCTCAATAGTAAGAGGGGGCCCACAAATGCTGATCTCTTCCTGTGCGAAGTAGATGTAGAAGGAGTCCTCGTCCCTCAGCACAGCCGTCAGCCGAAGCAGGTGGTTCTCTCCCGGATCCGTTCTGTACCGTGAGTAAGGCACAAAGACCTGCAGGCTGTTCACTGGAATACAGAGTGGTCAAATACAGATGATGATGCAGGTGACAAGTACAGTCTGGTCTTAGCCTGCCTGGCACCTGGGAGTGTTTATTTGCACTAAGTCTGCACAAATTTGCACTAAAAGCTGCAGCATTTTAAAAGCTTAAGTGATCACGACTGGATCTGCAGATTCAAGATCTCTAAGGTGATGTTGCTGAAGTGTTTTATTTCAATCACCTACAATCATCTATTTAGGTGGCTAAGTGTATTTTTCCTGAAGCAGGAGGACTAGATACACTTTTCCAGCCATGCACCCCCTGGAGTCCTTACCTTCATTGCTTTTGAGGGTAAAATGAAACTCTTCCTTCCAAAGCTGCGTAATGGGCACACCATTATAATGTAGAGACTGGACCCCAACTACCAGGTGAGTAGCCTTTTCTCCACCACTGTGGTTAAACACTTCAATGGAAAGCGGAACATCTTGTCCCAGTGTCAGAGAACTCTTTGACTGGAGGTGGATGAAAAGGTTGACTGGCTCTTCAAAGGCAGTAGGAATGAAGGTAAACTGTGTTTCGCTGCTGCTGCTGCTGGTTGTCTCAAGTTTCCTTATCTTTCTGTAGGCTTTGTCGAGTACGTCTTTTTCCTGAAGAGAACCTGTCACAAAAAAAAAGGGAGCACATGTTGTAGTATTCTTTCCTGTTTACTCTTGTGAAGCAGTAAATGCAGAGGGCTGGTGCTGAATTATCCTGGCAGCACTGCAGATAACGGCTTCCAAGAGACATAACCCTGTTGTGCTTCTGGTTGGAGCAGTTTGAGAATTCCAGCTGACATGACGTTCACTGGATGCACCTGAAAGATTCTACTGGGAAAGATTTGTCATCATTTTTAAAGCACCTTGGTGGTACTGTCTGTCAGAGTAAGAGGCAGTTGCCTCTTGAACCGTGGCTGTAGCTGGGCTCAGCACTGTGTTCTTTCAGGATGGACTGCAGCCAAGGAGACAACGTGCCGCAGGCTGAGATAAGGTGGTAGGGTTGGGTCAGGGAACCAACACTCAGTAATAGATTCCAAAGGGGGAGCTGCTCTTTGAGGGAGGGATTTAGACAATATCTGGGAGCACAACTGTCCTTTTCAGAAAGCTGGAGGCTGAAATATATCTTTATATGTTACAGGGGTAACGGGAGGTGAATGTTCAGAGTGTACAGGTAACAGAAATCAGGAAAGAAGGTTTTCCAGACGGGAAAGTGCCTGGTGAAGAAAGGCCTGGCCTTCTAGAGAGCTGGTTAATGTAATTAAGCAGGATGAAATTTGGGGTAGGACCTGTGCTTTGGTTCTGTAGACAGAAATCTGAATAAGGTGGTGGCCTGCTCTTGAGGGAGGGGAAGCAGGGAGAAGTGGATGACCCACGTGCTCTGGGGCTCTGCTCTCTAGTCCGTTACTCTTCACTTTTGATGCTGACAAGGAACTTGCTCAGCCACTTGCCTCCCCCATACCTTCAGGATACTTGTAGTGGTGTGTGATGTCCTCACAGCGTTCACTGCCCACGCTCTTGGTGCTGATGTTGTTGCCGGTGTACTTTGTGCTGCCGAAAGCTGGCTTGAGGGTGTCATCTGCTTTTTGTATCCAGACCTGGCACTTGGCATTGATGGCAGCAAAGAAGTAGCAGACATCGTAATTGATGTCCGTGTCCCCTTCCTTGATGGCTTTAACAGGGGCTGGCCCACAGAAGGATGGACCTGAAGAGAAAATGTGGCCCAGTTAAGATTCAGATGGTTTACCAGCTAGACCTGTGCCTAGTTTAGATTTATACTGGGAGCGGTGAAGTACCTAGTTTAGGAGGACATTAGGGAGCAGTACTGTGACAGAGCTCTTAGAGCTACACAAACCAAACAGATGAATGATGATTCAGTGCTTAAAGTCAACGGGGTGAGTCTCTGTTCTTTTGCATCCTTCCATGGGGAGTTGGGGGAGGGAGGAATTTTGAACTTCTTTATTTGCTCCCTGCTCCGCTCCCTCCCACACCCCTCAATCCCGTCTTTGATATCTTACCTTTGCTTTTTTCCTGGCAGGTGGCATCCAGTGCCTGCCACCCGCTGTACTCTGGTAGCAAGTCCGTTCGAGCCATCCAGCATTCGTTCCACACGTGGAAGGTCCTGCAAGAGACAACATCACGTGCTTATACCAAGGGACTGACCCCTGAGGTACAGTGAAGTTTTAGCCAAACCACAGCCAATTAATGCTCCTTTAAAAGAGCTTAGTGCACGTGGAGGAGAGCAAAGACTGTGGCTTTTGACACAGCTGGACTGAGCCCTAGTAATAGGGCACTCTTCAGTCTGAGTTGTGATAATTCCTCAAGAACACGTTACGTAGACAGAATCTCAGCTGAGGTGTCCCTGTCCTTCTCCCTGCGGCTGTTCACCTCTCCCTTTTCCACCCTCTATCACTCCCTAGATCCAGGTATTGGCTCCAATTCTTGCTTGGGCCCTGGCACATTTTCTTACCAGACACGGGCACTCTTGTCTTGTGTAAGTAGTGTCCCATCTTCATCGTAATACTCGTCCACACTCAGGTTGTTGTTAGTGTTGTGAGCCCACGTAAAGCCTGTGACCACCCTGGTAGGAATTCCCAGGCACCTCAGAACTGTGCAGAAGAAAGAGCTGTGAATCAGTTGTGTGTCCTGCCCTAAGGGCGCCTCTGCTGAGAGATGTAGAGTCTTTTTTGGTCTTGTGTAAGTAGTGTCCCATCTTCATCGTAATACTCGTCCACACTCAGGTTGTTGTTAGTGTTGTGAGCCCACGTAAAGCCTGTGACCACCCTGGTAGGAATTCCCAGGCACCTCAGAACTGTGCAGAAGAAAGAGCTGTGAATCAGTTGTGTGTCCTGCCCTAAAGATGCCTCTGCTGAGAGATGTAGAGCCTTTTTTTAGTTCTAGGAATGGCACCGGACCTGTTGTTTGGACTTTGCAAGAGGCATTGCCCCCTCAGGAAATAAGATGTGTTAAGTGAATGGTGTGTACTGTTATCTTACATCAAAGCTAGTGATGCTGAATGTTCATGAGGAAACTGAGCATCTCACCTAAGGATTAGAGGTTATGTTACTGGGATCTCTGTTAATCCAGGAATTTAGGATTATGCTAGAGGTTCTGCAGACCAAATAAATCTTTGCTCGACACAAAAGTTCTTTGGCCACCACTGTACCTGAGCACATGACTGCAGCAAACACCCAGCACTGCCCGTAGCGGACAGGCTGGCATTGCGATGCCACCCATTGCTGGAGGATGGGGCTGCTTCCCAGCCACTTGGAAGGGGGTGTCCCGTTAGAGTATTGCCCGGTCCCGTACTCTGTCAGGATTCCTCTAAGCTCATCACAGTTTAGCTGCAGGGAAGGAGGAGAGAAAGATGGATTAAGGAATTGCCTCTCTTTGCTAGGTACACCTCACCCTGTTTGATGAAGCTACTCCCAAGGCAGATGAAGCCAAAACGGTATTTTTTTGTGTGCAAAGCATGAGGGTCATGGCTGAGTAGAACAAGTGCAACAGTCTCCCCTGAGATTTATTCTTTAAGTGTACTGTCACTGCTAAGAAACTCCTGCAGCTCTATGTCTCTGCTGCAGGAACATCAGGAAGGGCTGGAGATGGGCAGGAGGGGTTGTTTGCAATAGCCCTGGGCAGGCTTCCTCTTTGGTTGCCATAAACTGGGGTTGGGAAGATGCTGGCCTTCCCTGTGCATTTGGGTTTTCCCTGCCAGGGTCGGGGCTGCTCTCTGCTCTCCTTACCATGGCAGCGACCGTGCGGCAGACGTGCACGGGGCTCTTGCGCTGGCCGTGATCCTTGTTTTGCTGACGGCGTTCGCCTACATCCAGCAGCAAGAAGCAGATGTCAACAATATCCTTCTCAAACTGAAACAAGAACGCATCATTTTAGGAGACTTGGCCTGAGGGTTTGTCCTCTGGAGTCCTCCCTGCCAGGGTTTGTAACTGTGCAGATGATTTGTCCCTTTCTTATGGAGTGGGCTGCGGAAGAGAGCTCCGGAGATTTGGAGGGGGAACGCAACATAGTAAAGGCAGACCTACAGCTTTATTGTAGCAGGGTGGGAAATGCATTAACATGATGTTGCATCCCCCCATTGAGGGAAATTGATGCTTTTCTGGAGCACTCTCTAGGCTGGCACAGAGGTACTTTTGAGATCTGGTGGCACTAAAGTGGAATAAAATTCCATTCTAATCACTGGCTGTGTCAGATGGCCTTGGGCAAATGGGAAGTTTTACTTGTCCTCACTTTACCTGTGAAATAGAGACAGTATTACTCAGGTCTGCTAAATGCTTTTATGTTTGTTGATGAAAGGAAGGCACACAAAGCCTAGATAGAAATCAATGCATTTCTTCATAGAGGACAGCCTGAGAAGGTAGCTAAAATTATGTATACTGGATTACTTCATACACAGGTCCCCGTTCTCCTGCACAGTCTTAGATGTAGACAGTGAGTGCAGAGAGTAAATTCTTTCATCACAGTATGGGAACGGGTAATGTCCTGTACACCTGGGACATATACACCCTTCCTCTGCCGGTGGCTGTAAGACAGCACAGATGTATTGGCCACTGCTTACCTGACTGAAGTCCCAGGGTTGTGCCAGGACTGCATTTTCAGTCCCCCAGTAGATGATACCCTCTTGGTTTAAAATGTACTCCTGCCGCTGTGCCTCGTTAGCCAAGAACACCTCATCATCTAGATTAGAGGAAAAAGCGTCAGGAAGAAATCATTGCTGGTGCCAGATGCACTTGCATCTCTCTCACATCAGCAGACTCCACTGCACTCCAGGGACTTGGGCAGTCCCTGACATTCTGCCCTGGAAAAATACCACAGGTTCTGAACCAGGCAGGAAAGAAGAATTTAATTGTCATCTCTGTTTCCGTGTTCAAAAAGTTCCTCCAGACCCAGGCTATTGCACCAGCCAGCTCTTTTACTCTCCTGGCTGTCAACATCTCTATTCCTAAGAAAGATACAGTGGCCTTAATCAGACCAATTATTATCTTGACTCATCTTAAAATCTTTCTGATAGGAAACGCTGTATCAAACATTTTTCCCTTAGCAGCAGGACGGAGCTCTGGCAGTGGGGTACTCCAGGAAGGAGGCAGAAGTGCTGAAGAAGGCAGCTTTCAGCTTTTATCAGCCCCCACTTCCTTCCTAAGGTGCTGTGAGGAGCAGGGCAGGAGTGGTGGGGAGCACCAGGTGACCTAGCCTCAACCTCCATGGAGGCAGAGCACCAGAGCTCAAAAGCTGTGAAGTGACCTGGTCCCTGTCTGTCTTTCTGTTTCTGACCACGTACCTTGGCACCAGGGGTTAAAGAGAAGGGTGAAGTTGCCCAGGAGGCAGTGAGCCTTGGAGGCGTGTAAAAGCAGAGTGTAGTAGCCGATGGGAGCGTTGGCAGGTGTGTTCACCGAGATGGTCCAGAAGCATGGGTCCTGTTCTTCTACTGCTGCGCTCCACTGCTTCTGGTCTCCCAGGCTGGAGATGGGGAATTCAGTCTGGGTTCCATCAGCTTTGGAAGGATGTAATCCTGCAGCCAAAGAGATCTGGTTGTGGCCATCGCAGGCACGCACCCTCACACCATGCAGGTTGCAGGGATCTTTTCTATATCTGGAGCCATAGCTCTCCTTTCTTCTGAGATAGTCTTAATGCCTAATGGATCTTCCTAAGGCTAGCACTACACTCAGGCCTCCATGTTTGAAAGTGGATGTGAATTTCATAGATTTGTAGAAACTAGGAACAGCCAGAGCGGTGCAGACCTGCTGCTTCTGGGATTTAGTGCCTCATAACAAAAATCACAGCTAAATGCTCAGGTGATGGTAAAACAAGTTGAGGGTGGATGTTGCTGTCCTTCTCAGGGGTCCCACTAGAAAACACTTGGTAACAGAAAACACCTGTAACAGGATAGCTAAGTTTGAACATTCCTAAACTAAAGAGATGGAGAAGAGATCCCATGGGTACTTTCAAATCAGAGTAATGAACCTCCATGGGTTATTGTGTCTCTTCTGGAAAGAGATCTGGTTTTGACCCCGCAGCCCCAGCAGCAGGAGACTCTACTCTGCCCTAGATAAACCGTTCTCTGGCCTCACTTCTAAATGTGATCACCTCCGGCCAGCTCTGGGAGATGGCTTTTGCCACCAGCTCTGTTCTTCAGGAGAGTGGAGGACTAGGGCTCTGATAGGTATGGTAAAGACGTTACCTGTCTGTACTATGAGGGAAGTCCTCTTCAGCTGCTGCAGGTAGTTGTGTATTGGAGCTGAGAAGCTCACAGTGATAGTGAATGGCTGCCCCCTCCTCACAATAAGCCTTTCGGTGCTGATTTCTTCTGTGTGGTGGTTACTGTTGTTCACGTTGATCTTGAAATCACATTTTTTGATGCTCAAACCTGTGGTGTGAGAGGACACAGAATGAGTTTGGGGCTGTGAGCTACCCGCAGGCTGGCCTGGGGCCACATCCTGGGGCGCACAAACGGCAGATCCTGTATTTCTCCACTCAGTGCCTTCAAGACTTTCTGCCCAGTAACTGTAAAGGCCTTCACCCTGAGCTTGGTTGTTCTTTTGCCAAGTGGCTAATAGCCCTGCACCAGTTTAAGCTTTACAAAGCCAACTCTGACCTCATGTATTTTCTTCTCTGTGGTGAAGATGTCTGCTCTGGTGATCTTGTAGACTGCTCAAGTGGCATCGTGTAGTCATCTCACTGATTCAGTTTTGCACCCTGGCGTGCCTCCCCCAACTCCTTGTTCCCCCCTCCCCTATATTAAGAATAACCCTCTTGCCTTTGCTTCCAAACCCTCACGCCTGCTTTAGCTGCCTCTCACTGCTTCTCCCAAGCTCCAGGTAGGCATTGATACCAGCTTCTGTTTGCTGCCCCTTTTTGTGCAGTCCTCCATGCAAATTGTAAGCAGCTCACCTCTTCTACAAGCCTCATGAACGCTGTCCCGGAGCAGGGACAGTTGTTTTTCCTGAATGACAACTGGCAAATGCTTGGGACTAACCAAAGTGATTTTTGCTTACCTTGGCCCATGTCTGGTTCCCTGCACTGCGACAGTCTTCAGCTCCTGCTTGTTCTGGTGGGCAATGGCTCCTTCCTTCAGCTTTCTGTAAAAATTACCCACTTGCAGAGTTGTTTGTTCAATTTCTTGATACAGGGTGGGACGTGATGTTGCCAGTTCTTCAGCTTATCTGGCTGGCCTGCTGTGCAGAAGTTGCTCTCTTATCTCTCAGACCACAGTAAAGAGCAGAAAGTGGTGAACTTTTCTAGCTACAGATGAGGTTAAATTCCACAGTGGGATGCAAAGCCTTTAAAGACAGTGACAATTTCTTCAAAGAGCTATGTATTGAGGACCCCAGAGTAGGAAATACAAGTCTTAAATCGGCTCTAAATGATGCACACAATGCACTTCAAGTGTAAGTGTTGAAGAGCTGCTCTCCAGCATTGACTCTAATCTACTTAGATCCTAAACCCTTCAAGGAGTAAAAAATAAAAGGTCAAGATATATCCATTGCCCTTATGCCTAATTCAAAAAGTGAAACCAGTTCAAAATGAGGAAACTCGTTAACAACTAAAAAAAGTAGAATTTCCGTGGCATAATGCAGACTATTTAAAAATATCATGCTGGAAACTTGGACTAAATACATTCTTAAAGTTGCCGTAATATAAAAGGAAGGTCACTACATTGATAAATAATTGATTAGAAGATAGGAAATAAGACAGCAGAAATAAAGAGTTTTCACTGTGGAGTGAGTCACCAGTAGATCTGCAGACATTCCACAAATTCATAACTAACTTGAGAAGCTGATAAAAAGCCAGGAGGTGGCAAAGCTTGTTCAGTTATTCTGAGTAGGAAAGATGAAGGAGGCAGCTTTGGAGAAGTTGTCGAGGAACCTGAAGATATTGAAGAACTAGGCCATAAAATAGCAAGTAGAGATCCATGTAGGCACATATACATTAGGAAAAAAGAACCCATATCCTATATAAGCAGCGATGCATTCAGAGGTAGTTGTAGCCATTCCAGGATTTACACTAGACAGCTGCTGCACAACATGGTCCAGGGAGCTCGGTGGTTGTCTTTGAGTTTGCATCTGCTTTACAGTTGCTTACTTAAATGTGTGATTTAAGCTAAATACAAAGTCGCTTAGTTTTTGTTGTTTGCAGCATAGCTGTAATTGTGTAGATTCACAGCACTGCCCGATGGCTGAGGTTGGACACCACCCCTGGAGGTCACCCGCCACCTCTGGAGGTCACCTTGTCCCAGCCAGGTGTTTGTCCCGTCACTGCTGCCTCCTGATGGCTGCGCACACGCACAGTGCCACCTCTTGGTCAAACGGGAAACTGCAAGTAATATTTGCTACGTAGGACGCACAGATGAGCACTTTGTAAACCCTGAACAGAGAACTACTTATTGTCCCTTTGTATCTTTCAATGGGCTAAAAATGCCCGTTGACGAGGTTAACGCACAAAAGAGACTGCTGCTTGCAGTGCTCAAGATCTCGCTCTCGAGATCTGAGAGAAGGAAACAGGAATCGCCCACTGCAGGGGTCAAAACATTCAGCCAAAATAGTGAGGTTTCCTACTTGTGAATCACCTTTCTGTCTGTCTGGAATATGGGATTCTTATATGTTGTTTTTCAGCAAAATGCTGTTGGTAGTGATATGTTCTGTGTCAGGAGGTGGGCAAATGGACAGTCCTTCAGATACAATGACAGGTCGCTCTACTATATGGGTCCTCCAAAGATGCGGCCCTAAGATCTTCCAGCAAAGATCAGACGCTTCAAAAAATAGTACTTATTTCCACCTGAACTGTAAAGGGCATATTCAGTAACCTTTGACTGACTTTGTCTTGCAGATTTGTTTTAAGGGTGGTTCTTTCCTATGCTTCCTATATAGCTATTACGTACATGTTTCTGGCTCCAGAAAGAGAAAATCTTTTCAACGGGAGCAACTTATTTTTACTGGAGCTTCAGGAACAGCATTCATGATGGCGTTCTTTTGGAAAGAATGGGTTTGGTTTTTCCCTGCAAAATCCACCTGTCCTCTAAGTCCTTCTCACTGATCTCTCCAGTCGCAAAGTCAACTTGATGTCAGGTTTATTTTTCAGGCTTCCTTTTATTCAAGAAGTGGAAGCATGTAAGCTCAAGCTGTCCTTTATTATAACGTGTGTTCCAGCCCATTGCCCTGTACAGTTGCTAGCTGTGAACGTTATTTGCTCTTACATTTAACACATTAATCATGCTGCTGAGATGTGCCATTGTTTGTAAAACTACAGTTAAATTAGGTGTGTGTTCTGCTTATGCTGATTTCAACCTCTGAACCCGAGGCTGCAATATTGTGAACATTGGTTTTGGCACGTGTAACCTCACGTGCACCAGATCTGTGAAATCAACCAAGTGAATTCCCTTCTTCATTGTAAGGATTCAGTAAGAATCGCTCACAATTAACCACATCCAAACCTATACTTGTCTCTAAAATGCAACAAAAGCAGAAGCACATACAACTTGCGAGACTGGATCAGAACGGAGGTTCGTCCAGTCTGATCTGGTCTCTGACAGTAGACAACACCAGGTGCCTCAGAAGAATGTGCATCAGCTTCACCCCAGCAAGTGAAGCGTCGAATGTGCATCAGCTTCACCCCAGCAAGTGAGGCGTCATCTCCCAGTTGATGATTTCATGACTGAGTACATGATGATATGCAAGATTTAATATCACTCTGATAGTTCTTGTTAAGGATAAATATTCTTTGTAGTCACCGCCACCTGTCTCCTTTGCAGCCTAACGTGTCATTAGTGGGAATCACGGAAGCAAAGGGTGCTGAGATTTCAGTTGAGCTGCCTGTTTGTGCTGAGCTCTCCTTCTGCACTTGATATGGTTGATGTAATACTCTGCACAATGGCTGGCTGAAACTGCTTTCCGACTGTATTTACCAAGCTGAATTTCACTCAGTGTTATATTGTCCTCTGTTTTACCTTGTTTGGGACCTTCTGTTCCTCGTAGTTTTTTAGTCCTCAATAATTTAAATGGCTTTATGTCATGAGCAGATTTTGTACCCTTTTTGCATTCACTTCATGCATTGCTGCTTCTGAAAAATTTCATCCAGGTCCAGGCAAATGTTGTCACTGCTCTGTATCCACCATATCCCTCACATGGTCATAGAAATCTAAAGCAAAAGTGATCCAGAGGATCCTTGAAAGTCTCCATCCTGTTTGGATATTACTATGGTACTATCTTGGGGGATTTTCATTGTTTTACAGGTCCAAAAATAAACCCATAAAGTTGTTTTATCTTCTTTATTACCTATAAAAATAGAGGCTTAAAATGGTATGTGAGCATCTTTAATAACTTGATCTCTTTCTGAATATAGTGATCAAAAAATCCATACATCTGTTTCCCTTTTGTTGTTTCTACATTTGAACCTCTGCCATGCCACATCCATGAATTAGATGTGAATTTTCCTTATTGGCGGAATTTCTTGTTTCTTTAGAGCAACGAGAAATGTTGTTGTACACTGTGCCTTTTGTTTTGTCTTGTATAGTGAACGGTGCCCTCCACTGAGTACACAAGAGTAATAGATACCAAGTGGTAAATCAATGCAGCTTTGGTGACAGCCGAAACAACCAAGTGATTTAAAACTACCAACTTGGGCAATTTCTGTTTGGTTTGGTTTTAATCTGTAAAAGGCTGGTAACTTAATTGACTGCCTGAATCAAGGCTCTAGAAACTTAGATCAGGGGAACAGAAGGGTGGGGAGAAAGATTCACCATCCTGGAGATGTCTTCCAAGACCAATTAATACTATGGATGTGTCATATCAGCTAGTGCTCTCTTAATTTTTTTGAATGATCGGAATGCAATGAGGGCTGGGTCAGCCTCTTGGGCATGCTGAGATTTAAACTGCATATTTATAAAGAAAAATACTGGTAATTAGCCGTATTTTACTCCAACAACTCCCATTGACTTATGACTAAGGGCTGTGTAAAGATTGTGGGTTTGACAAAGGCTATTTAAATCCTTCCTTGGGCACTTACACATTTTTCTCTGCAATGAACATTAGTTTAATTGAACAGCTGTTTTATGTCTAAGGCAGGAAGAATGTGTATTTCTTGTACATGGCGCTGGCCAGGTCTGCATTTCAACCTTGGGACCGAGCTGGGTGCGGTTGCTGCGGGCGGTTGATAGTGCTGACACCCCGAAAAGCCAGCACCCCCGAGTGTTGCAAAGCTTGGAACTTGGCACCAGCGTCAGGGCTGATTTTCCTTCTAACAGCCGGCTTCCCTTACAAATAGTTAATTAGGATGAGGTCATTCCAAGCTCGTGTGTGACAAACACTGCCTGAAATTTCCTGCATTGTATTTAGGGAGAAATAGTGAAGGGATTTGAATGGAATGGCTGTACTGTGTGTTAAATGTAATGACAGTCTGCATTCTTGCAAGATTTAATGAGATTTCGTGAAACACCATCTCTACCTTAAGGCCTTTTCTGAGGGGAGTGGGGAATTGTGTACCCTGACTTTCCAAGATCCTGCAAGACTTAATCGCTAGGTGCAAAGGTGCCCCTTCCCCTCTCCGTTGCCTGGAGAAATCTGAATTCCTCTGTGTGTGTGTGTCCTTTTCAATCTTCATTCCAGTCTCTCCGGGCTGACTAGTTTTGACAGGCTTCTGCATCCCTTGTAACTATATGTGTGGGTGGCAAAATATTGTAATTGATGTAATAAAATAGGAGTTTACATGTTTTGGAGGTTTCCTTGGCTTTAAATCAAAGACATTTAAATGAGACCTCTGTTTAATCTGTGTCACTGAGTCACTTTGTGTCCGTGAAACATTCTTTCTGGGGGAAGTGTTGGGACTGCATTGCTGGACAGTAGTAGGTGTTGTCAGGAGGGAAAGGGCAAATTATCTCTTAGGGACATTCAGATCTTTGCTATTTTGGCTTGTTAGCTCTGTGAGGCATAAATGGACACAGTGCTGGGTTTTAGATATGGACGGCGTAATGCCTTCTTCATGGAGGATGATGATCTACGTTAAGCACATTTGTGGAATGAGGATGTGTGACTGTAATTCTGAATTTTCATACATTCTTCTGATTATACTGTCCTGAGCCTTTCCTTCCCCTCCTGTGCTTTCTGAATGCATCTGGAAATATTACAGAGTATCTGCCTTTGCAAACAGAAAAATAG